GCAAGACTCGGTCTCAAAAAAAAAAAAAAAACTTTATGGAAAACATTAGCTGATCCTTTTACCAGACCCTATTCTGAGAGGCCCCTGCATTTCCAGGGCAAGATAGGGAAGAGAGCAAATATCTGGCTCACAGAAAATGCAGAGGCTTCACTCATCTTGTGGCGTATCCCAGTCCATGGTAAGGAGGCCCTGCACATCTCTCCCCCGGCCAAAGGGGTTCATCTGACCAAAGTTTACATAAACCATAAGAGGGTATCACCCTCTCATTCTCATCTCAGTACGAACCAGTCCAAATTCCCTGAGAGTTGACATGCAGGTTATCAGGGAGAAAGGGCAGATTAACCTTTGCCCCTTGTTCAACCCTGGAGGTCACCCTCCCAAGAGGTCTTGGCATCTTTTGACCCCAGCACAATCTTCCCTGGAGATGGGAAGGTGGATTCATGTCTTCCCCTGCAATCAGATTCAATCAAGTGAATCACAAATTACATAAATCCAGTATGTACAATCTAGAAAAAAAGAAAAAGCAAAACGTTTGATGATGAGGACAAGTTATTACCCTATTTAAGAGATGATAAAATTTAGGGTCTGATACTGGGGGAAAAAGGAAAACATTCACCAAAATGATTTTGACTCCATACCCCTTCTGCTGAGTGAGGAGTCCAGAGTAAGTATCCTGTGTTCGTTCAAAGCCAGTCTCTACTCATGAACTTAAGCATTGTCTTGACCAACTGCCTCCTCAAGGTTCTGGTAGCTCTGCCTATAAGCTGGGTGGCGTTGGCCAAATTCCCTAACCTCTTTGGTATTGTTTTTCTCACCCTTCAGATGAAGCTGTGATCTTTACGTTCTCTTTAGCCATCCAAATCTAAAATTCTCTGACTATGCTGCACAGATAGCTTTGCCCTCAATTAAGTATTCTTTATTTAGGGAACAATTTCTGGAGGCATTAACCTTCAGCATCCCAAGAAATGCACAAAGCCACAGCTATAGGCTGAGACAATCCTTCTCCAGGAAACCTGAAAGGAGCCTTCTGGAATGGCCAGGCTGGTCTGCTCACACTAGCCTTTTCAGTCACACCTGACCCAGAAATAGCCACACCGTCTGCAGGGATAAGTTGCTCTGAAAAAGTAGGGCGACTGAAACCACAGGACTATTAGACACAGCTGGATGGGATTTCAAGAAGCAGAGGCCCAGATGACAAGCTGACACTAGCCTGCCGTTATGTCAGCATCTTACTCCTGCAGCAATTCGATACCTGGACACAAGTTATTCTCCAAACCTACGCTTGCCCCTGCCCTGAAGATTTTGAAAATGTGGTTGGCAGAAGAGTCAGAGTGAGAGAAGGGCGAGGCACATCAGTGTGGAGTCACAGCTACCTCTGCGCTTCCCTGAGCCCCCGAATGAGGCATTGTTTGTGCAACTGGGAATCGGAGTTTCTCCTGTGTGTCATGTGCAGTTTGGGCTGCACCCGCCCTGCCTGCTGGGCCTGTAGGGTGTGTAGGTTATGTCGAAACAAGACTGCACCCAGACACTACCCTAGGCCTCAGGCACCCTGGGAGTTCTGCTGTGTCAGGGACCCGTCGCTGCAATCTTTTTGTCTTCCAAATGAGACCTGGTAAGCAGGTTGGGCTGCCCAGAGGGGACGGCATAGCTCAGGACTGGGACATGCTAGGTGGTAGGTACCTTTTGCTTGTATCCCTCAGGGGTGAGAGCAGAGGATGCGGGCAGCCCTGGGAACTCTGGCTTAGTGACCTGGCATCATGGGAGTGTTCATAACTTGCTCTGTGAACATTCTCTAACCCAGAATGCAAAGGGGAACTGCCTTTCCTTTGGCAGACAGGAACAAGCACTGCTCGCCTTGGGTGTGGAGAGATTGTCCTGTTTTAGCGCTTCAAGGACAGTAGCACCTAGGGGATCCCCCCACTACCGCGCGCACACACACACACACACACACACACACACACACAGACATCCATAAGTGCCTCCTCTCCAGCCACCTCCTGCTGTGACTGTTGAGCCCCACCCACCCTGCATGACAAAGTACTCTGCCTTCTGCCAGTGGAGACATTGGGTGTAGCCAGATGGACCAAGTACTGAAGAAAATGTCCTCGTGTGGCATTAAAGTTGCTGCAGGGAACTCAGCCTCTGGTAGATCCCCTGTGCCATAGCACAAAATCAACTTCTGGATCTCATTCCACGAGGGTCTCTGGGCATACATTTCTGGTAGCTCCACACCACCTCCAACATTCCTGAGCAGGAATGAGCCTCATGCCTGTCCATGGGCTGCAGTCACCCTGCAGGTGAAGGCGCCACGGGTGGGGCGCCCTCCCAGGAGGATGGCCAAAGAACACCTGTTCTGAGAAATGGTGCCGATGACTCAGCAAATGGCACTCTTCCTCAGACGCAGCCCTGACTCTGTGCCTGGCCTGCTGGTAGGGGTTTGGAGCAATCTAGGAGGTGGCTCTTGGGTGAGTCAGAAACCAAGAGGCTGACTCTTTATACTCCCAGGGACCCAAGACTTTCTCAGAAAAAAAGCAGGTGGAATGAACTTCTATTCACTCTTTCTCCTTTTGGCCTCTGTTCACCTGTGGTGATCATGGGAAGTGCTTATATGCTTTTTCACTGCTTCTAAAACTGTTGCTGAAAGTTTTTGGGCCTTGTGAAATAAGAAGAGTTAATTAAGAAGGTTCCATAGTATATCAATATGGATGATCAAATTATAACGCTAATGACCTATATCTATACCATTCTATATGATAACCACTAGCCACACATGACCATTTCAATAAAATTAATTAAAATTTAAAATTTGGTTCTCCAGCCATACCAGCTACATTTCAAGAGCTAGTAGCTGCCTGTAGCACAGCTATAGAACGTCTCTGTCATCACAGACATTTCCACTGGACAGAGGTGATCTAAGTACATAGTGTTAGAGATTCACTCAACTTCTCATTCATTCATTTACTCAAGTATTTACAGAGGGTGGGCTGTGTTTTAGTGACTGTGGGTGAACAAAGATGGCAAACAGGTGGTCCCTGCACACTCTAAGAGTTTATAACTGGTTGGGAATTCAAATGTGTAACCAAAGATACAGAATCTGTTCATTCTGGGACTGAAAAAAGTGATATACAAATGAACAGAATGCTTCTGAAAAAAGGTCAGCGTTCAAAAAGAAGAGCAGGGAAATGAGTCGGCCTGGTTGGACTTAAGCTTATTAATCTTTAATTCAGCATCTGCTTAAGGAATTGTGGGTAGTAAGTTAGCTTAGATAGCTTAGACCTGAGTGACTGATGTGACAGACACAGGGTAATTAGGCCAAAAGGAGGAAAGTTCAGACCCAAAGCTCTCCTGGGAAATTTCTGACTGTGCGTCCTAAGGAGGGCAATTGCATACCACTGGTAGAGGAGAGGGCCGTTGTCTCAGGCAGTCATATCCCAGGGCTGCGAAGGTTAACATTGCATTCACCTCCTGGAACTCTGGGACACGGTGCTTTCCACCGGACTTCTCAGAAAGTAGCAAGCAACTGGCTGGCTCTTTCTCCAGTTCAGCTGCTCCTTGTTTGCAAGATTTTCACATAGTGATTTCAAAGGTTTTTATAAGGTGTTCAAATTGGGCAAGCACATTGGATATGCACCAAGTATAAGGTCTCGAAAAGGGATCCCAAAGCCCAAAGAGGGTGAGAACTTCTCACAGAACTTCTCAGCCAGGTCATCTTAGGACAGAGATGCTCAGGGAAGAAAGATACCAAAATAAAGGGCATGGAGACACCACGTGAAACTGATGGATTGTGGAAGAGAAGCAGGTAGAGAAACGCAGACACTTAACTCAAAGCCCCCAGGGAGACCAGGGGGTCATCTTCAACCTGGGAGGAGTTGTAGTGGCTCACAGATGGGTGACCCCTGGCAGCTGCTCGCTAAAGGTGTCCAGGAATTTGTTTGGGGGAAATATTTTTTAACACTTGAGATCACTGGAGATGGTTTGTGAGTCATAAAGCTGGATGCTGGGCTCTCCGGGCAGTTGAGCTACAGAAGAGCTATTCTGAAAAAAAGACTGTGGGAACAAGCAATTTATTTTTTATGTGAGGTTTTGAATAGGATACATAGTTGCATGATTCAAATCTGAGGAAATGTGTATTAAAAGGTTCACAGTGAACAGTGCCTCGCCCCTGCTCCCTATGTGCCTGGTTCCCACACTTCTCCCACCTGCACTTGGGCAACCACTGTTATGTTCTTTTGCACCCATCCTGAGTTCTTTTTAAAACTTTTATTTATTTATTTATTTATTTATTTGAGACAGGGTCTTGCTCTATCATCCACGCTGTAGTGCGGTGGCATGATCTCAGTTCACTGCAGCCTCGATCTCCCCAGCTCAAGCAATCCTCCCACCTTGGCCTCCTGAGTACCTGAGACTACAGGTACGTGTGACCATGCCCAGGTGAGATATATTTTTTATATATATATATATATATATATATATACAGGTCACTCAGGTCTACGCTATCTAAGCGGTGGAAGCTGGGAAGTTGAGGGAGGAGGTCAGCGGGAGACCCTCGGTGGGAGGCGGAGCTGATGGCAGCCCGGGTGAGGATGCGGCTGAATAAGGAATCTTCTGCAGGGCAGGTGCTGTGGAGGATGGGTTTAGGGGCTGAACCTCAATGGGACACGAGGCCTGGGCACATGCATTTTTTTTGGAGAGGCCAAGCACGGTGGCTCACACCTGTAATCCCAGTACTTTGGGAAACCAAAGTCGGTGAATCACTTCAGGTCAGGAGTTCGAGAACAGCCTGGCCAACATGGTGAAACTCTGTCTCTACTAAAAATATAAAAATTAGTCAAGCATTGTGATGCACGACTTTAATCCCAGTACTCAGGAGGCTGAGGCAGGAGAATCACTTGAACCTGGGAAGCAGAGGTTGCAGTGAGCCAAGATCACAGCACTGCACTCCAGCCTGAGTGATAGAGGGAGACTCTGTCTCAAAAAATATATTTTTGTAGAGACGGTGTCTTGCTCTGTTGCCCAGGCTGGTCTTGAACTCCTGGGCTCAAGCGATCCTTCTAAAGTGCTGGGATTATAGGGGTGAGCAACCACACTCAGACTCTGTGAACTTCTAATCATATCTTTTACTCATTCTATGGGTCTTTGGCTACTTTTAACAATCAGTTTCTTCTTATTTTTTCTCATCAATGTTTTTATTGATTTCAAGACTAGCCCTTTGTCTGTGAACGGAAGAATACAATACAAACACAGAGCTAATCAATAACAGTCTTACCCAAAGATATTTTGATGATTCTCTGTAAAATTATTTTCAAGGCAAGGATTTCAGCCCTGTCCCCCAGGCTCCCACCACCCCATGTCATACCAGGTTGCTGGCCTTTTTTGTTGTTTGTTTTGTTTTGCTTTGTTTTCGTTTTTGTTTTTCACTTCTTTTTCTTCCTTGGGCCTTTGCATTGGCTATTTCCTCTTCCTGGAATAAGGTTTTCCCTTTGTCCTCCTGGTAAATCCCTGCTCACTTTCTCAAGGTCTATGGCACCTTCTCATTAGAAAGAGCAAGTGAGGACAGAGGTGAGTGACTATTGGAAACCTCAAGTCCTTTCCCCAAATCACAGTACACGGAGGGGAGACCCAGGCTCGGCAAACAACTTTGAAGCGGTGGAATTTGGGAAGTTGAGGGAGGAGGTCAGTGGGAGACCCTCGGTGGGAGGCAGAGCTGATGACAGTCCCGGTGAGGATGCGGCTGAATGAGGAATCTTCTGCAGGGCAGGCGCTGTGAAGGATGGGTTTGCGGGGTGAGCCTCAATGGGACACGAGGCCTGGGCACATGCATTTAGTGAACAGAGCTTCCAGAGAAGACAAGAGGACGGAGAACAGAGCATGGGAAGGACACAAAGTATGAATACAGGGGACTCAAGACCAGACCTACAGAATCTTCCAAGGGGCTACAAGAAGAGGAATTTCAACTGGACACCGAGAGACCTTGACTCCAAAATGCCCTCATCTTCCAAAAATCCACAAAGAAGAGAAAGAGTGAGAGATGTCCCAGCCTTTAACAAGGAAAATAAGGTAAAATATGGCTGGGTGCCGTGGCTCACACCTGTAATCCCAACAGTTTGGAAGGCCAAGGAGGGCGAATCACTTGAGACCAAGAGTTTGGGACTAGCTTGGACAACATAGTGAGACCCTATCTCTACAAAAATAAAAAATTAGCTGGGCATGGTGGTGTGTGCTTGTGGTCCCAGCTACGTGGGAGTCTGAGGCAAGAGAATTGCCTGAGCCCGGGAGATTGAGGCTGCAGTGAGACATGATCACACCACTGCACTCCAGCCTGGGTGACAGAATGAGACCCTGTCTCAAAATAAACAAACAAAAAGGTAAAATGTGAAGAAAGACATTAAACCTCAAGAATCTGGGCTTAGAGCAACCAGAGATGGCGAGAGAATTTGAAAAGCCTGTGAAGAGACTCATGAAATGAGGCTTTAACCCTAAACCACAGGGTAGAATTCACACCTGACTATGTGCCCACCACTTGCTCCAAAAAGGTTTGCACCCCGACTCACCACACCATAGGAAAAGAGTTTCATGTCTCATAAGGTAGCCTACTGGATGCGCTACACTTGAGGGCAGACAAGTTGGGGGATTGGTATTCTGATCTCCTGGGTGGTACCAGTGATTACCTAGAGAAGCCACAACAAGAACCCAGGAAGCTTCTGGCTAGAGGGCCGCCCTGGGAGCTTCCCTCATACACTTCTAGTGTATTCATTCAGTACATGTTTGTTGAGCACTGCTGTGTATCAGGCACTGTGCTAGGGGCTGGGGATGTACTGGTGAGTAAAGCACTGAGCCTGCCCCAGCTGCTGTAGTGCAGTGGGAGAGACGGACACGCACACAAGCCAGTGTTACGTGTGCTCTGGTGAAAGAGCATCGAGGCCTGTGGGGCTGCAGACAGAGGGGCCTGGTTCAGATTTGGGGTGCTATGAAATGCTTCCCAGCAAACATGACTCCTAAATCAACAGGGGTCCTTTGGAGAGTAGCCTACTCATGAAAGACCCCTGAGAGCATCTGCCCCAGCAGTGGGTAGAGGACTCTCTGGCAACAAGGGTAGAAAGCCAGTGTGAGGTCAGGAGCCTCAAGGTAATACACTGGACTTCCAAATAAAGGAAGAAAGTTTAGAAAACCAAACCAAGAGATAAATGCTTTTCTCCTTCTCATTGTTCTGACCCAGACAGTCAAATTCTTGCACGACTTATACCTTAAAAGCAATGCATGTGCAAATTCCAAGCCGAAAATAGAAGCCATGCCTGATAGGATCCATTCTCATTCCTTTGTTGCTGACTTTTGTATTAGCTCTTAGCTGAGGGTCAGCATTTTCTGATACCATCTTCTGCACTGGACTCCTCCTCCTCTCCAAACTCTTTTAAGGATTCCAAGCAGCCTTATTCAATATTTATGTGATCTGGACACAGCAAGACTTCTTTGATCTGCAGTGAGCAAGAACTGAAGATCACTGGAGCTTGGCCTTCAGCAGCTGCTGTTCCCCAAATTTGTCCCTCCCCCAGGGGGTCCCCAGGAGCCCTGCGGGGTGAAGGCATCACCTCTTTGTGCAGAGACTTTGCTTCCACTGGGCACTGGACTTGCCAGTCCCCCATGGGGCAGAAGAAAGAGATCTGCTGCATACTTTAGCTAAGTACTTTTTAAAACACAGAGATTCTGCTTTGATTTTTTCTTGTGAACAGTTAGCAGAAGCAAAAAGTCAACAAACCCCTGATGGACAGCCCACCCCAACAGGGCCAGCACATGCAAAAGGAAAGTGGCTAAGAGTTGGGACTGCTCTTTTTTCCATTGCAACTTAGAATTCCCAAGGCTAGGCTGCCTGTTTCCTTTCATCAGAGGAAGTAATGAAATGCAGGACCTGTGTGCTTCATTCTCTCACACAGACACACACCTCAATCAGGATGCTAAATAATGAAAATACCCTGGGACTTGCTGCCAAGACCTTCAATAAGAAATGAAGCCCAGTTCAGGCATCTGTATTGGTTTGTCTCTGGCACAGAGGGTCTGCAGGAGTGCTAAGCCAACTCCATTGCTGTTATCTTCTCAGCCTAGCCACAAGAAGAACACCTCCATCATTGCTGCCTCCAGACAGAGTCTGTCTAGGTCAGTTAGCTGTTTGGACACCATAAGATAACTGGGCAGGTGGCGTGGTGACTCACGCCTATAATCCCAACACTTTGGGAGGACAAGGCAGGATGATCACTTGAGCCCAGGAGTTTGAGACCAGCCTGAGCAACATAGCAAGACCCCCTCTCTACAAAAAAATTTAGAAGTTACTGGCCAGGTGCAGTGGCTCATGCCCGTAATTCCAACACTTTGGGAGGTTGAGGCAGGTGGATCACTTGAAGTCAGGAGTTCAAGACCAGCCTGGCCAAATGGTGAAATCCCGTCTCTACTAAAAATGCAAAAACTAGCTGGATGTGGTTGCTCATGCATGTAATCCCAGCTACTCAGGAGGCTGAGGCATGAGAATCACTTGAACCCAGGAGGCGGAGATTGCAGTGAGCTGAGATGGTGCTACTGCACTCTAGCCTGGGCAACAGAGCAAGACTCCATCTCAAAAAAAAAAAAAAAAAGTCATGTGTAGTGGTGTGCACCTGTAGTGCTAGTTACTTGAGAGGCTGAGCCCAGCCTTGAGCCCAGGAAGTCGAGGCTACAGTGAACTATGTCACACCACTGGTTTCCAGCACAAGTGACAAAGTGAGACCCTGTCTCAAAAAAAACCAAAAAAAAACAAAAACAAAAAAAAGAAAAAGAAAAGGAAACTGGGCATCCCAGAAGGGCAAGGAGGCTTTTTGCCATAGAAGGGCTTGTTTTACCACATCTTGGAGAAGTAATATGGCAGCATCAAAGGCATGAGTCAGGGTTGGTAAATACAGCACAGCTATATTTACTCTCTTGCTCTGTCTGTCCATCTCTTGTGCAGACATAACTAATCAATCATAACCCATTTTTCCTTTGGAAAATACGTACCATCCTGGGAGCTGTAGTTGCTGAAGATCCTTGGGCTCTAAAGAAAGTAGAAAGGAGCACTGATCTCCATTACCAGGGAGGTTAAGCCTTATGGTTAGCAGTTTAAAAGAGTCTTTCCCTAACACTTTTATACTTAACAATCCAAGTGAATTCATTCTTCTCATGGGGAGAAAAAGCGATGAGCTGCTGGTTCACTGGGTGAATGATGGCAAGCAAGAGCTCAGATATCCCATAAGGAGACACTCACACAACCCAGAAGAGCCTATGACACTGAGCAATATTGACTATGAGCAATATCCGAGATGGGAATGCAGGACACCTTGCTCCTGGGGCTAAAATCAATCCGCATCTCCCCGAACATTGGAGGCCAAAGGAACAGGGCTAAAGCCCAATCCTGAAGCCTCCTTGGTAACTCCTGGCACTCAGAAAGGATGGAGAAGAGAACAATCACTTATCTACCTTCCTACGTAAGTTGTTTCATTTATTCGTTTATTTACTCACTAGATGACCAATATTTCTCATGGATCTAGCTTTGGCTAGGCCCTAGGACTTTGACTGGGGGTGGGCAAGGGTGGCTGCATATTAACTGAGAGTCCTGCTTGTGAATTTCATAGCTCTCTGCCACCATCTCCCCCTCAGTTCTCAGGCATTGATTGCTTCAAGCAGGAAGTAACACCGCAGAATGGCAGACAAAGCAATCTTGAGATTCAAGGCTAGGCTTTCCATTGTCTAGAGCCTAGTATATGTATGTCAAATATCAAGGTCCTAGTAGTGACTTTTTGGGGTAACAAATCTGTTCTATATCTTACTTGTGGTGGTAATTACATATTTGGACATATGTATCAAAACATATAGAAGTGTATACTACACTAAAAAGAGTACAATTAGCTATAAGTAAATTATTACCTTAAAATGAGGAAAATAAACATAATGTGGAGTAGGAAAAAAGTGACAAATACATATAATAAGAAAACGTTTTAGATGTATATAATAGAGCATATTATTTTTAAATACATAAACAAATAATAACAGAACAAAAATCAACAAGAGACAGAAAAACGCCAGTTTCAGCATAGTCGATACTTCCAGGAAGCAGAGGCGAGTGGAGGTACTTGGCTCTATCTGTAGTGATTTATTTTATTTTTAAGAAAAGAGTGATCTAAAACAAACACGACAACATTTTAACATCTGTGTACTTTTGGTAGTAGATACAAAAGTGTCATATTATTTGCTGATCTTTCTGTACATTAAAAAAAATTGTTTTGAGACAGGGTCTGGCTCTGTTACCCAGGCTAGAGTGCAGTGGCATGATCTCGGCTCATTGCAACCTCTGCCTCCCAGGCTCAAGCAATCCTCCCACCTCAGTCTCCTAAGTAGCTGTGACTACAGGCGCCCACCACCACACCCGGCTCATTTTTGTATTTTTAGTGGAGACGGGGTTTCACCATGTTGGCCAGGCTGGTCTCGAACTCCTGAGCTCAAGTGATCTGCCCACCTTGGCCTCCCAAAGTGCTGGGATTACAGGTGTGAGCCACCATGCCTGGCCTGTATATCAAATTTTTTTTATAATTTGTTAAAAAGTTTAAAAATCATACATACACACACACACACACACACACACACGGCCCTGAATGTCCCTGGTCCTAAACAATAGATTTGGAAGTCAGAGGCAAGTAACTAAGAGTAAAGGTGAAAGCAAGAGAATTAGCCATGTGGTGAGTCCTAAGGTTGCAGTGGGGGTGGGATTTTAGCCTCCTGTCCAGAGAAGAGGCCTGGAAGTGGCAGACCTTATAGAGTCCCGGCAGATCTGAGAACCCCTAGCAGAATTTCCCCATCCTGCGGGGTACAGAGGCAGCCAGGTGCTTCCCATGGCTCAAAAGGGTATGGAAGGAATGAGCAAAATCAGATCTGAGAGGTAAAGGGCCCCAGAATTGGCTGTTTCTGCCACTCAGAGCAGATACTCAAAATAGATATTCGAAAGTAATAGAAAAATAAATAATTTTACATTACCTGCACATTTAGGTTTGTTAGAACTTGGCTACATCATAGATGAGTAAGTCACAATCCCTGCTCTCAAGAGCCCATGGGTTATCTGGGAGACAGAAAAGTAAACAAGCCATTAGGATGTGATGTTCTCATGGGAAAGGGGGGTTAAATCAAATGAAAGCTCCTTGTACAGAGAAGTATTTGGTGAGACTTCTCCCATCCCTCTCTCTAGTCCCACCTTTTGAGCATGTGTTAGCATCTATTGCTGTGTAACAACATTACCTCATAATTTGGGAGCTTAAAACAGTTAACATTTATTATCTCACAAAGTTGGGATTTGGGAAGTGGCTTAGCTGGCAGGCTCTGGTGCAGGATCCCTCACTAGGCTGTGCTCAAAATGTTGACTGGGGGCCGGGCACAGTGGCTCATGCCTGTAATCTCAGCACTTTGGGAGGCCAAGGAGAGTGGATCACTTGAGGTCAGGAGTTTGACCTGGCCAACGTGGTGAAACCCCATCTCTACTAAAAATGCAAAAATTAGCCAGGCATGGTGACATGTGCCTGTAATCCCAGCTACTCAGGAGGCTGAAACAGGAGAATTGCTTGAACCTGGGAGGCAGAGGTTGCAGTGAGACAAGATCACGCCACTGCACTACTCCAACCTGGGCAACAGAGCAAGGCTCCGTCTCAAAAAAAAAAAAAAAAAAAAGTTGACTGAACTGTAGTCATCGTAAGGCTGGACTGGGACAGGAGTTCCCACTCCCAGGTGATTTTCTCGTATGACTGTCCATTGCTGGTTGCTGGCAGGAGGCCTTTGTTCCTCACCATAAGGACCTCTCCCTAGGGCTATTCGAATGTCCTCAGAGTATGGTAGCTGGCTTCCCCCAGAATGTTTGATCCAAGAGAAAGAGCAAGAAAGAAGCCACATTCTGTTTAAAAGAAGCAACTTCTTAAGTCTAGCCCATACTGTAGAGGATAATTCAGCTCCATCTCTTGAAGGGAGGAGTATCAAACAATGCATGGACTTATTTTAAAGCCGCCACAGGGCACAAAGGAAGCCAGAGTTCCTAAACTTTCTCCATTGTCCTGACCACCCCCAAGTGTGATGGATGACTATGGATCCAGTTATTGGAAAGACTAAAATTAGGATTCAGATATTATCAGGAAAGATTTGGAATCTAAACACAAAAGAGCGCAGGCAAAACTGTGTCACTTCTGGGATGGAGCCCTTGAGTGGGTCCAGACGTTTCCTCCAACCTCAGGGAACCAGCATGAAAGGGAAAGAAGCCAGACATATGCCCTGTTAGGTAGGGTCTGAGGAGTTTCCTTAAGCTGGATGATAGAATCGAGGAGGCAGGGGCAGGCCCCAAGAGGCAGGCAGCATCAGGGAGGCCCAGCCACAGGGGATGGCAGAAGCAGGAAAGCAGTCTTGGGGTCTGGGGCCCTTGGGTGTAGAGCTAGATGACTCAATAGGTGGCTGAAATATGGATTTAGAGACCCAGCCCAGCAGGCATCTCCCACAAAACTGAAAAATGTTTGGCTTCAGCGAGAACTGAACTAAAATTTTATAATCTAAATATCTCAAGTGAAATCATTTTAATCTCAGCATCTGTATCAGTTTTGTGTTTTAAGAGTCAGGATCATTTTTATTTTGAATTACACAATGGCAGGGCAGAGGGAGGATGGCAGAAGGGTCTGTAAAGCCAAACTTACCAAATGGTGTGTCCCAGCAACCTGGTAGCCTGTTCACAGGCAGGGCTCTCCCCTGCAGCCATGTAGCCAGTGCTCTGCGCAAAGCAGCTAGCAGGAGGCCCATGTGGGAGCTGAAAGCAGTCTGTGTCCTGACCACCAAGCCTGGCACCCAGCTTGTAAAAATATGGCACATTTTTATTATTCCTAGTTTCTGCTAGCTGCTAGCTCTGCTAATGGGTTATAGAGGAGCTGAAATGTGGAGCTCTGTAGCTCTTGGGAGGCCAGGCAGGTGAGAGAAGCTGGAGCACCCAAGCCAGATTCCTCCTGCTGGGAGAAGCTTTGCCCAGAGTCCAATTCAAAGAAAAAAAAAAATAGATGGAGGCCCGAACCCAGCCATAAGCAGGCAGCTCACCACTCAACAAACATCAATACCCTACCTTGTGCAGGGTTGGGCAGGGCTGTACGTCCCATCAAGGACTCCTTACAGGTCCTCGGCTTATTGACCCCAAGACTGGGTAGGATGGGCTCCCAGGCTAACCAAGGGGGCATAGAAGCAGGGCTAGAGGGGAGCAAGGAGATGGGCAGCCCACACCCAGAGTCTGCCCTCCCAGAGGGGTGCGCTAGGAAAGCTGGCGCAGCCAGTCCCTCCAGAGTTCCAGCAGCTCCACTCTCCCCAACCTGCTGGCCCAGCCCCACAAAGGGGCTATCCCTGGAACCCTACTCTGAAATGCCCCTCCCTTCAAAGAGTTCCATCCAACTGGAGGGGCTGTGAGCTGGAGCAGAGCAGCATAAAGATGAAGGATATGAGGCCAGACCCCACCCCCCATAAATACGGCCTGAATCTGATAGTCGAAGGTTGTACTGGATGGCTTTATTTGCCCACAGGACTGGAAGTTAGAGGCCCATGGACTGGATTACGCTAAAGGAAGTGACATATGCAAATGAGTCACATGCCAGGCTGCTGCGACCAGACTGACAGCTTTATCATGCAGTACCCCGTATCTCTCAGGGCCTGTTTATAGAAAGGTCTGGAGTCTTCTCTTGTCTTTTGGCAACGATCCAGCTTGCTCAGGCATGACTTCGCACGGAAATTGGGTTTGACTTTAAAAATGCTCCTTGTGACGGTAACTCAGCAGCCAAGACCGGCTCTGCGCTGAATTATTGAACGGTGAGGATGTTTGCCTTCCCCCGCCACAGTCCTTCTCTGTAGCTCCTTTTCCTGACAAGTAATTTTAAATATGCAGCAGTGCAAGGCTCTGTGCTCACTTGGCCTAATGCTGAGCCAGATTCCAGTCGTGCTTGAACAACTGCCAAGACACCCAGGGCAGCAGGCCTTGCTCCAGAGGCCTGGGGACTACAGATTTGGGCAAGTGGATATCTTGATGAGCTCCAAGCTATTGTTCTGAAGGAATCACATCTTAAGGTATCTAAAACCAAAATCATTCATTAATACCCAGCCGGCTTCTTCACCTGTTTTCTCTATTTTCACCACTGGTGTCACAATCTATTCAGCTCCCCAAGCCCCTGCCTTGGCCTCACCTTTAACCCTGCAGTATGTGCACAGTCTCCAAGTCCTCCCTATCCTCACTATCCCTGACTTGTTGAAGCTGATATCATCTCCTCTAGACTCTTAACAAGCCCTTCCAATCAAGCTCCCCTTCTCCAATCCTTTAGTCACAATGATCTAATCATATTCATATTATTGTCCAGTTTTCACTGGTTTTATTAACTTGAGGATCAAGTCTAAACTCTTCAGCATGTTAGTCACAGACAGGTATCAAATGAGCAAAACTACAATATCCTTGCTCTTAAAGTAAGGATGAGGGAGAGAATCAGGCAAGCAAACAATCATTGCCTCATATTTTGAATATAAGTTTTATCACTTGCAATTCCATGACCTTGGCCAAGTCACTTAACCTATAAACTGAGATTATTAACAGGAATAAGGATTAATATTAGACACAATATAATTTATTCTGTATATTCTGAATAATCTAATTTCTTATAAAATACTTCTATTTCATACCATATTTTAAAACTGGAAAAATTATTTCACTTTCAAAATATTCAACCATGGAAACTGCAAAGCAATTATATGAGTTCATTAGTGTCTAATATCTTTATTCTTAAAAAAGAAAATTGTCATTTTTAATTAGAATAAAAATTAAAGTTTAATTCCCATTTTTAAAAGAGCAAAATATTTTTAATTACAACTAATTTCAAGGATCTTTATGTGTTGTACAATCAAAGTTACTTACTCGTACAGATTTTCACATTTGACATGCAAAATGGAAAACTTAAATTACATTATTTACTATAAAATAACAATAATGGGATTAAATGAGATAACATATATAAGTAACATAGTTTCAGTATCAGGTGTCCAGAAAGTACCAGAAATGCTCACCTCTGTAACTGTTGCTGCTTTTCGAACCCTGGCTTCCCACCCTTCCATTGTCATCTCTTGACTATCTGGAATATCCTAGGCAACCACACTCATTCCCAAATCACGTCCTACCACCACATATGTTTTTGTCTTTGCATAGCTATTCCCCTACCTGAAATTGCCTTTATCTCCTTGTCTAGCTAGGAAATTGCTACTCATTCCTAAAGGGCCATCTCAAATGTTGCCTTCCCTAGAATGTCTCTAGTGCTCCCATCTTCCCATTTTCATAGCTTTTGCACGTAACTCTATTGTAACTTTTGCCTTGAAATATTTATTCTCGGGGCTGGGCGCGGTGGCCCACGCCTGTAATCCCAGCACCTTGGGAGGCTGAGGCGGGCAGATCACGAGGTCAGGAGATCGAGACCATCCTGGCTAACACGGTGAAACCCCGTCTCTACTAAAAAATACAAAAAAATTAGCCGGGCGTGATGGTGGCCACCTGTAGTCCCAGTTGCTTGGGAGACTGAGGCAGGAGACTGGCGTGCACCTGGGAGGCAGAGCTTGCAGTGAGCCGAGATTGCGCCACTGCATTCCAGCCTGGGTGACACAGCGAGACTCCATCTCAAAAAAAAAAAAAAAAGAAAAGAAATATTTATTATTTATTCTCATATGGGCTTCCCTTATCATACAGTGAGAAGCCCAAGAACAGAAAAATGTATCCATTCAAGCATTCATTCAACAAACAGGCATGTGGCATGTATTATGGATCAGGTATTGTGCTGGGCATTGCAAATGCAAAGATCCATTAGACATCATCTATGGGTGCTTAGTTGCAGACAATGGCATTCATTCTAACTAGTTTAGGCAGAAAGAATTTCAATATTTTAAAAAATTGGGTAGCTGACAGAATCTTAAGAAAGACCAGGGCCAGGCATGGTGTCTATGCAGGCAGAAGCAATGCAGCTGGGACTAAGGAAGATGACCAAATACACCAAGGAGATGTTCCAGTGGAAGCATCGTCACCATAGCCACCCATGCTAGGGGCTGGACCCTAGAAACCCAACTGTACCTGGTCCAGAAGAACCAGATATTCTGGCACCAAGCTTACCAGAAGATTCCATCTTCATTGCTCGCTTCTAATTGAAGTCTCCTGCACGTACATCTGCGCGATGGATCCTACATCACGTTTCTACATCCCAGCTGCAAGGGAGTTTCGTAAATGCAATTTTATCTGTTAACTCAGATAGGACATCAGGCTATGGAAAGGGTGTCGAATGAGCCAAACTTCAATATCCTTGTTTTTAAAGAGAACACCAATCTAGGGAGAGAATCAAGCAAGTTAACAATCATCACTGTATTATCAGCACAGTACTGGTGGGCTGTGAAAGCCAGAGAAGCAGCCCCCGAGCCAGATGAGGTGGCTTTGTACGAAAGATAAAAAAATATTTTGTGGCCAAGCGCGGTGGCTCATGCCTGTAATCCCAGCACTTTGGGAGGCCAATGTGGGTGGATCACGATGTCGGGAGTTCAAGACCAGCATGGCCAACATGGCGAAACCATGTCTCTACTAAAAATACAAAAATTAACCAGGCATGATGGCATGTGCCTGTAGCCCCAGCTACTCCGGAGGCTGAGCCAGAAGAATCGCTTGAACCCGGAAAGTGGAGGTGGCAGTGAGCCAAGATTATGCCACTGCATTCCAGCCTAGGTGACAGAGCGAAACTGTGTCTCAAAAAAAAAAAAAAAAAAAGAAAGAAATATTTTGATTTTTTTAAAAAGGGGTTGTTAGGACATTTTAATTTTATTGTTCTAAATTTAAAATGACGATTTTCTTTTTTAAAAAATAAAGATATTATTTATTAAGATGTTAGACACAGTGAACTCATATAATTGCTTTGCAATTTCCATGGCTGAATATTTTGAAAGTGAAATGACTTTTCCAGATTTTAAATACAGTATAGAATAAAAGTGCTTTGTAAGAAATTACATTATTATAACATATACAGTAAACTATTGTATCTAATATTAATTCATGGGTAACATGGCTAGACCCTGTCTCTACAAAAAATGCAAACAAAAAATCTGGGTGCAGTGCATGTGCCTGTAATCTCAGCAACTCGGCAGGCTGAGGGGAGGATGGCTTGAGCCCGGGAGGCAGAGATTGCTGAGATTGCGCCACTGCACTCCAGCCTGGGCAACAGAGCCAGGCCCTGTCTCAAAAAAGAGAGACTGGGCGTGGTGGCTCACGACTGTAATCCCAGTACTTTGAGGGCCAAGGTGGGCGGATCGCCTGAGGTCAGGAGTTCAAGACCATCCTGGCCAACATGGCAAAACCCTATCTCTACTGAAAATACAAAAATTAGCCAGGCGTAGTGGCACATGCCTGTAATCCTAGCTACTCAGGAGGCTGAGGCAGGAGAACTGCTTCAACCCAGGAGGTGGAGGTTGTAGTGAGCTGAGATAGTGCCATTGCCCTCTAGCCTGGGCAACAGAGCAAGACTCCAAAAGAAAAAAAAGAAAGAAAAAGAAAGGAGAGAAAGAGAGAAAAAGAGAGAAAGAAAGAAAAAAGAGAGAAGGAAGGGAGGGAGCGGGAGGGAGGATGGAAGGAAGGGAAGAAAGAAAGGAAGGGCTTTGTATGCCAAGTTTTAAAAGCTTACATTTTATCCTGAAGGCACTGGGTGTAGTCATTGAGTGGTTTAAAACAGGTGAGTGGACATGGTCCTATTTAAGTTATAGAAAGATCCACATGGACTGGAAAGGGGTAAGGTTAAAGAGAAGAAAGCTGGTTAGGAGGCCACTGCAGCCATCTGGGAAGAAATGGTGACGATCTGCACCAAGGAGGTGGCAGTAAGGCTAGAGAAGAACAGAGGCAAGAAATGTTTCAGGCCTGATGACAGACTGACCATGGGAGAGAGGAGGTTTGAGGCCTATCAGTCAATGAGCAGGTCCTGGCTTGGGCAGTTGGAAGGATAGCTGTATGCTTCACCAAGATGAGCTACACAAGGAAAGACATACATTTGCAGGGAAAGATGAGTCAGATTTTAATATGGTAACCTGGAGGTGTGTGTGGAGCATCCAGGTGGAGACACGGAGTAAGCAACTGCAAGATCGAGGTCTGGTCCTCATAAGGGAGGTTCGGGCTGGGCAGCAGCCAGCTGCTGGGTTTTTGTGTTTGGTTGACCATCCTACCTGTCTTGTTATCTTGTTTCTGAAAGAGCTACCCTTTCAGAAAACCATGTAGTTGTGAGAAAATAACCCCCTTAACCTCTCAGAGTAGACACTTCACCCAAACATATCCAAGCAGAGCCCACCAGCCGCTAGCCACAGAGACAGGGTCAGGTATGGTCATGTGACCCAAACTGGGCCAACCCATAAAAATCACACCCAAGCTTTTGCTGGACCCATTAGAGAGCAGGCAGTCTATTTAGATGGGGTTGACAAGCCAATAGATGAAAGCCTAGAGTTTCCAGAGGCCACTTTTTCATCAAGTATCTCTGATAGACTATCAAGTTGCAGGGGGTTACCGGGCAGCTGATTGGCTAAGGAAGAGCGTAAGAGAGTGACCCGGAAGAATATAAGTTTGTGTCTTCTGCACCAACAGCAGTACCTGCATAGAACAGGCATTCAACAGCTGCTTAGCGAATCAGTGAATGAAGGCTTTAAAATGTGTATTTAGGCCAGGCACAGTGGCTCACACCTGTAATCCCAGCACTTTGGGATGCCAATGTGGGCAGATCATCTGAAGTCAGAAGTTTGAGACCAGCCTGACCAACATGGTGAAACTCCCTCTCTACTAAAAATACAAAAATTATCCGGGGATGGTGGTAGGCACCTGTAATCCCAGCTACTTGGGAGGCTGAGGCAGGAGAATGACTTGAACCGGGAGGTGGAGGTTGCAGTGAGCCAAGATTACACCACTGCACTCCAGCACTCCAGCCTGGGCAACAAGAGTGATACTTGGTAGCAAAAAAAAAAAAGGGGGAGTATTTACAAATATGATATAGTACTACAACTACATATCTCATCACTTAAAAAGTCATACTCTGAGATTTAGAAAACATCACATTGAATCTATGTATACAGAAATT